TCTAAGCATTGGAAGGGCATGAAGCTTGCTGGGATGAGTGTGCATTCAGGGTACATGCTTGAGCTATGGCATGTGGGATGATGGTTGGCACCCAGAGGGGGAGTTTGTTGTGTGATGCAATCTTATGCATTCACGTCTATCTGCCTCCCATCATGTGTTCGTGCGCTGCATGCGTGGTGTGAGCGTGTGCAATAATTTGTGTTTTGTGCAGTTTGGTTTTTCTGAGTGTGTGTGTAAATGTTATTTGGCTTGAGCAGATGTCTGAAGTGACTTCTCTGCTCAAGAGCTTCCCGACGAACCAAGTATCACTTCAATCGGAGCACGAACAAGAAAGTTCTGAACGTTGGAAGTTCGTATGCTTTTGATATTTGGTTGTGGTGACTATGGGGAGTTATGGGGTTGACTCCATATGGGGTACAGACTTTTGGGTGTTGGGAAATTCGTCAGCATCACTGTAGATGCTGCCAAGTGGTTGGGAGGAGCCAAACCAGGTTGGCAAGTGTGGCCAAGTTGGGCAAGGTGGATGGCATGGGTTGGAAAGTGACAAAAGTGAAAATGGGGTTCCTATAGGGAAGGGATTTGGTGTGCTTATGGGGTTTCTTTTGTTGGGGACTCCTTGGGGACCTTCCCTCTCATCCTCCTCATCCCTTCCACCTGGTTTAGTGCTACTCTAACTCTCTTGTGTAGTAATTGTGAACTTGTGTGAGACTCTTGTGATTGAGTTAAGATTCTATGGCAGCATACCCCCTAGTGCGCCAAAATTGATAACTAAAAAAATAATTCACCTTTTCGTATGATTCAACTTGGGAATTGTAGCAACGGAATAGACCTACAACATATCTGAGTTGAGAGAAGTTTTGATTGTGAACCTTTCGTCGACCGCGTTTCTTGTGAGCGCGACTTTTCTGTCCAGAATTCTAAGCCAATGATTTTGAGAATTTTAGGCACCTAATCTTCGTAGACTCCGTCCTTAGTCTCTAACAGATTTCAGCCTCACAGCTGGAGCTGAGAACAGAAGACGAGCGGGTAGACCGCCACAAAATAGAGCCGGAACCAAGGCTAAAGGTGTAACCCTGCTGATATCTTTACCAAGGCACTTCCACCTTGTGATCATCAGCGCTTCTGTACGATGCTAGGTCTTGTGCCTACTTGGCCTCACTTGCTCACTTCTTGACCTTGCTTATACTGTTATTTTTGTATAGCCGCACTTGCTTGTTTACCTTTATATATGATCTTGCATGTGAACTGGCCTTGTGGCCTTGCTCTTGTGCTCGGACTGTGTGGTGATGTTGTGATCCACCCTGAGGTTGCTTTGCTTTGCTTGACTGGTCTTGTGACCTCTTGTTCTCCCCCACTTTGCCTATGGGGGTGTGTCAAACTTATATGCTATGGTCTATCTAGGTTGTAGTGGGGTAGACACTGTAAGGTACAACATTTCTAGGTTTCCTACTTGTACCCACGTTCTCCTTGGTCATTCTCTCCTCATTTCTTCACAATAACTCCTTGAAATTCGTCTTGCAGAGTCGCCCAAAATGATGTGACGGTGCGTTGAAGATTTCCTCCGCGTAGTGCTCCGTGGGAAGTGGCAGGTCGAACCTGCTCCAGAAGATGCTCCTAGTGATGATTCAGGTGGTGGGCCCATTTGTAGAAATTATCACAGGTTCCAAGGTTTGGAACTCTTGCTTGTGATACCATGTTGGGCTGAAGAAGCCCTTAGGATCTTTGTAGGGGTGAACTCTGGGTAGAGTTGGTGTAGTAGCGGAAGCGTTAATAAAGAGTTGTGAACCACCTTGCGCTAGTATGTGAGGGCAAAGTAAGTTGATTAAAACAAAGAGATACAAGATTATATAAGAGTACAAGGAATATGAAAGGATACGGTTATAACTGTTTTTCTTGTTGCTGTTGCGGTTCGATAGAGTGACGACTCGGGCAACTGCTCTGTAGCGAGTCAGTTGTGTGTCCTTGCTGTCGCGCTGTACTTGCCAGGTCAAAGGTCACTGACCTTTGACTTTCGCGTAACCTCCAGCGGTTACTTCAACCTCCGAGGGTTGACTCGCTGGTGCCTCGATATGCTTTGCTTTGCTTGTGCCTTTATTGTTTCGACACAACAGAGGCGCTTAGGACCGATTGTTTCCAACACTCCCCTTCACTTCTGGAGTGTCACTGACGTGGCTCTGTCCAGTCAGCAGCATGCAGTATTTGAACTTCTGCTTTTCGAGTTTCTTGGTCAGGTAGTCAGCTGCCATCTCGGACGAGGGACAGTATGTCAGTTCGAGCCTTCCCTTCTCGATCTCGTCCTTATCGAAGAAATATTGCAGGGCGATGTGTTTCGTCCTGTTCGCGAAGCCGTTCTTGTTGGCAATGCGAATTGCCGACTTTTTGTCGCAGAACAAGGTAAAGTTGGGTAACTCGGCTAACTTCGCTTCTTCCAGCAGCTCGCGAAGATAGAGTCCTTCCTTGGTGGCTGAGCAGAGTGCAATATATTCTGCTTCATTTAGAGCGCAGCGGAAGCTCTAGGAATTAACGACGTCCCTATGGCGGGGCTATTGGTCACTCAGAGGTAGTTTTCCTGGCTTGTAACGTGGTGCCAAAGCAGCGGCCGAGGGTAGGCCGGACACAAGCTTGAGAATTGTGTAATATGAGCAAGGCATTACATTCTGTTATATAGCAAACGCATAGGGCAAACAGTTACCAAGGCGCAACTGTATAACACTTGCGCTGCGTCGCTTGGGTTGCCTTGTTACAGTCGCGCTGGCGAGACTGTTCAGCTTCGGCAAGGGCGCGGTATCCTGCCACGCCCTACAGGTCAGTTTCGCGAACTGTAGACGATGACTCCTGCTGTCGATTCGATTCTTGAGTTGCCACGCGGGTTGCAATCGCTGTGCTCGGTTGCGGCCCGTTGACTCGCCAACAGGTTCAAAACCTCGCTATGGCGAGCCCCTGTAAACACACTTCGTGTCAGTAGATCTGCACTGTGGATGCCCGATTGATCCTGGAGAGGGTTACATGCGCGTTCGCCTGCGGGGTTATGGGCGCACTGACCTGCTACTGAAACAAGCCCTTTTATCCCAATGGTCTAGTGGTTGGGATTCTGACATGGTATCAGAGCGGTCTCGGGTTCGATTCCCGGTGTATGCACATGTAGGCCGTTGCCGGTGTGCTTAGTCCTGGGCCTCCCAATGTGGGGGGGTGTCAGTAGATCTGCACTGTGGATGCCCGATTGATCCTGTAGAGGGTTACAGGCGCATTCGCCTTGGGGGTTATGGGCGCACCGACCCGCTACTGAAACAAGCCCTTTTATCCCAATGGTCTAGTGGTTGGGATTCTGACACTTCGAACAGTGCACTTATTATAAAAGCATACAAACATATTCTCAACAGAATCTTCCCATTTGCGAATGTCGGGGCAGTTGGTGCGAATCAGTTGCTCCATGGTCTGATTTGTCCGTTCCGTCTGTCCGTCGGTTTGCGGGCGGTACGACGTAGGACTTCGACGTAACTGCAGGCGGGTTTCATACTGTGCCCACGTCTCGTGTTAGAACTTTGACGTAAATTTCGGGTCACGATCGCTGATGATCGCCGAAGGTAACCTTTGTAAGCGTACGACGGTGGAGATGAACAGTTTGACTGTATCTTCGGCTGTTATCGTCGTTTGGCAGGGGGCGAAATGTGCCATTTTCGTTAGGCGATCCACGACGACCATTACCGAGTCGCTCCCACTCGTGCGAGTTGGGAGCTTCGTGACGAAATCCATTGTCACCTGTTGTCACGGTCGTTCGGGTGGCGCGAGGGGTTGCAGCAGTCCGGCTGGCCTTTGTCGTGACGACTTCATTGCTTGGCAGGTCGGGCAAGTTGACACATAGCGTTGTACATCGGTGTGCATGTCCGGCCAGTAATAATTCCGCCGCAGCAGCTTCAATGTTTTGTCGGTGCCGAAATGCCCGGAAAGGTTGCAGTCGTGTGTCAAGGTTTCTAGCAAGGCTTAGGAGCCATGGCTAGTGAGTTCGAGTTGAAAGGAAAAGTGTCGAGAGAAAAGGGTTTCACTATAGGTTCAAGGGTACAAATATGAAAGAACAAGCAAGAAAGGTGCACCACCAAATAGGAAAACGCTATAACTACAGTAACCAATCCTGCAGGCAGTTACATATAGAAAATATTAAATTATATTTTCCGACACGCCCCCATAACTGACTGTAGGAGATGAGTATGCAGTTAGCGCCCTCTGAAGGGGTACATCACGATTGCGCAGGAGGAGAAAAGTGTTTCAATAATACCACTCCCCTGGCTCCCCCACACCTGCACACCCTCCCACCCTCCCCCCCAGCGGCAGCTGCAGTAGTGGGAACGAAAGGAGGAGGCGGGCTGGCGCTGGCTGAACTCCCACTCCATCCCCTCACCCTCCCCCTCTCCCTCCCCTTCCCCCTCCCCCACACACTGCTGCAGGAGCAGCAGAGGGGGGAAGAGTGGAGAGGTGGAGGGACGGCTGCTGGGTGGTCTCACACCCGCCACCCCAGTGCCAATCCCTTAGGTCGCCTCGACAGGTGACGGGAAAAAGGGGGGGGGGGGTGCACGTGCCCCCGATGTGCCGCGGCTGGCGACAGGGCATGGCCGTGTCAGAGGTCCACTGGTGATCCCCGATCGATCCTAGGGAAGGGTTACAGGCACATTTGCCTGGGGGGTTATGGGCGCACTGACCCGCTACTGAAAAAAAGCCCTTTTATCCCAATGGTCTAGTGGTTGGGATTCAGAGATGGTATCAGAGCGAAGGTCTCGGGTTCGAATCCCGGTGTATGCACTTCGGGCATCCCAGTGCGGGGGGGTGTCAGAGGTCCACTGGTGATCCCCGATCGATCCTAGGGAAGGGTTACAGGCACATTTGCCTGGGGGGTTATGGGCGCACTGACCCGCTACTGAAAAAAAGCCCTTTTATCCCAATGGTCTAGTGGTTGGGATTCTGAGAGACCGGGGCGGGGTCGGGGCCGTAAGTGGGCGGGGCCGCAGATGGCGTCGGGGCCGAAGTGGGCGACGGGGCCGCAGGTGGCGACGGGGCCGCAGGTGGCAGGGCCGCAGGTGGTGACGGGGCCACAGCCGGCGACGGGGCCGCAGGTGGCGACGGGGCCGCACGTGGGCATCGGGGCAGCAGGTGGCGACGGGGCCGCAGCGGGCGACGGGGCCGCAGGTGGCGACGAGGCCGCAGGTGGGCGTCAGGGCCGCAGGTGGCGGGGCCGCAGGTGGCGACGGGGCCGCAGCGGGCGACGGGGCCGCAGGTGGTGACGGGGCCGCAGGTGGGCGTCGAGGCCGCTGGTGGCAACGGGGCCGCAGCGGGCGATGGGGCCGCAGGTGGCGACGGGGCCGCAGGTGGGTGTCGGGGCCGTAGGTGGCGGGGCTGCAGGTGGCGACGGGGCCGTAGTGGGCGACGGGGCCGCAGGTGGGCGTCGGGGCCGCAGGTGGCGACGGGGCCGCAGCGGGCGACGGGGCCGCAGGTGGCGACGGGGCCGCAGGTGGGCGTCGGGGCCGCACGTGGCGACGGGGCCGCAGCGGGCGACGGGGCCGCAGGTGGCGACGGGGCCGCAAGTGGGCGACGAGGCCGTAGTGGGGCCGTAGCGGGGCCTAAGCGGGGCCGGAGCGGGGCCGTAGCGGGGCCGTAGCGGGGCCTGCTGAAGGGCGGGCGACGATGGGGCCGCTGAAAGGGCGGCGACGGGGCCGCTAAAAGGGCGGCGACGGGGCCGCGGAAGGGCGTCGACAGGGCCGCGAAGGGGCCGCAAGGGGCCTAAAAGGGCGGCAACGGGGCCGCTAAGAAAAGGTTAAGGGGCATGCCACGGGGCGTGCCGAACACAGAGTAGCAGCGGAAGCAATGGGGCGGGTCCACAGGCAAAGACCGTGGTCACTCTGATAACATGTCAAGGTTTCTAGCAAGGCTTAGGAGCCATGGCTAGTGAGTTCGAGTTGAAAGGAAAAGTGTTGAGAGAAGGGTTTCACTATAGGTTCAAGGGTACAAATATGAAAGAACAAGCAAGAAAGGTGCACCACCAAATAAGAAAACGCTATAACTGTGAAAGTTCTTAGCTAGGCTAAGGAGCCATAGCTAGTAGGTCGAGTGAGTTGAGTATCGAGCAAGTTGAAAAGGAGAGAATGTTGAATAATAGCAAAGAGATACAACATATAGTCAAGAAACTAGAGGTGCACCACCAAACAGAAGACAAGAAAAATACACTACACCTAAACCACAAGCAGTTACATAAAATAACATTGACAATAACTACAGTAACCAATCCTATAGGGAGTTACATATAGAAAATATTGAATTATATTTTCCGACATCGTGAACCTCCTGCGTCAGCAGCTCCCGTAAAGGTCGGTATGCTGGTACCCAAATCCGGTTCGTACCGGCTTTTAGGTAGTACTTGCCGTGCGGTGTGGCTGCCTGTTGTTGCGGGTTCTGGAAAAACCGGTCGATCTTGTAGCCGCGGGTGAATAGTCCCGTCAGCATTGGGTTGGTGTGGGCGATTACGACTGCCGCGTTTTGCATGGATGGCCTGGAGAGGGCGTCGGCGATGTTGTTGGCACCTTTCTTGTACGTGGTGGTGTACCGAAAATTGGACTCGAGAAAGTCCAACCACCGGATTTGTCGCGGGTTAAGTGTTGGTTCCATGCGCATGTACTGTAGCGATTTGTGGTCGGTCCGAATTGTCACGTCGGCTCCCGTGAGATAGCAGCGCCAGGTACGAAATGCGTGGACGATGGCCAGCATTTCTTTGTCGTGGACTGGGTAGTTGCGCTCGGGTGGCTGCATCTTGCGTGACTCGTAGGCGATGGGTTGCAGCCCTTGGCCGAAGTCCCGTAGCAGGACGGCGCCGACGGCGAAATCACTGGCGTCCGTGACGACTTCGAACGGTCGAGATGGGTCGGCGAGGCGGAGTACTGGGGGCGAACCCAAAATGTTTTTGAGGGCGTCGAAGGCAGACTGCTCCCTCTCCCCCCACCTGAAATCACTGTCGTGGTGCAGCAGGTCGGTCAGCGGCTTGGTTATTCCTGCCATATTAGGTACAAAACGGCGAACGTAGTTAACAAACCCCAGAAAACTTTGCAACTCAGGGATACTAGTAGGCGGCTTCCACTTAACGATGGCGTCCACTTTACGCGGGTCGATTTTGATTCCGTCGCCAAAAACCACATGCCCCAGAAATTCCTATTCCGGCTTCAGGAACTCGCACTTAGACCCCTTCGTAATCAGCCGATGCCCCTGTAAACGCTGGAACACCTTCTCTAAATCCCGCAGGTGGTCCTCTTTTGTTGCGCTGTACACCAGGATGTCGTCCAGATACACGATGACTTTCTTGTCCAGCATGTCCCGGAAATTTCTGTTCATTGTGAGCTGGAATGTTGAGGGCGTGTTTGTTAGTCCAAACAGCATCACCGTAAACTTGTAACTGTCGTAGCGTGTGCAAAAAGCTGTTTTCGGGCAGTCGTCGGCGAACACGCGAATTTTGTGGTAGCCTCCTTGCAGGTCCATTTTCGAGAAATACTGGGCTCCACGAAGTTGATCCAGCAGATCATCGGTTCGCGGGATCGGGTAACGCGATTTTATTGTGACCCGATTCAGCGCCCGATAATCAATGCACATGCGTAGGCCCCCGTCCTTTTTCGGTGTAAATAGTATCGGCGCTGCAAACGGCGACGTGCTTGCCCGGATAAATCCCTTGGCGAGCAGGTAATCTAGCTGGGCCCGCAACTCGGCGAGCTCTAGTTGGCTGAGGCGCCACTGTGTCCGAACAGTAGGTTGCGCGCCGGGCTCTAGCTGGATCCGATGATCCTCACGTTGTTGGGGGGGCAAGCCGTCCGGGAGGTCATCCGCAAAAATTTCGGGATACCTCCGAATAATGCTCGTCAATTCCTAGGGGACTGCTGCGCAGAGGGTGTCGATGTCCGCGATTTTCTCAGAAGCTGTCACCTCGTACAGGTGCACAAAGAAGGCTTGAGCCCCACTGTTCATCGCTCGCGCCATGTTGACCGCGTTGAGACGTGTCATCACCGGCTCCGGCTCCGTCCATTTCGGAAGCGTCGTCTTCCCTCCGTATCCTTGCACAACGCACGCCCCAGTTGTCCAGTCGATTGTCGTATTGAACCGCTGCAGCCAATCTCTTCCCAGTCGCACATCGCAGCCGTCCAACGTCGTCGCCAACATCTTCATGCCGAACCCGAATTTTTCGCCACATCGTATCCAAATTCGTCGCGCTTCATCTCGGATGGCCAGTGGTGTCCCGTCCACTAGCCTTGCATCAATCTCCGGCAGACACCTAGTCAGCTTCACCCCCATTTTTTAAGCCGTTGCCACGTTGACAAGACTGTGGCTCGCCCCACCGTCAACGAATATTTTTATTTTATAACCATTAACCCTCCCTACCACCAGCACAGGGTAGTCCACGTGTTCACCCACGTTATTCGTCCGGTTCTGGTCGATAGCTCTGATCGATACCACGACCCGTTGTGGATGGTGATTGTCGGGCGACAGGATCTCGTCAGTAGGTGGCCCTTCTGCTACCGACTCGTATATTTTCCCGACCCTTCTCCGTCGTTCTTCTTCCCCTGCTTAAGCCTCAGGCAGTCTTTTTTCAGGTGGCCCAGCTGGATGCATAAAAAGCATGGCCCAAGGGCTCGGCTTGGTGCATCCACGCCGTTGATCGTGGGCTGCTGAGTCGATCTACGAAATCGAGGGCCCTCCTAGGAGCTCGATCTCGCCCACTGCATCAGTGCATCCATTGACTCGGCTTCTTGGACGGCGTCATTGAAGCTTCGTGGCTGGGTTCTTCGGACCTCATACTGTATCTCGTATTTTAGGCCCGCCACGTAGCGATCCAACCGCTCCGCGTCGCTCATATCGTCCACTTGATCCGCCAAGTTGCAGAACTTGCTGGTGTAGTCTTGGATCGAAGTCAGCTGCATTCAGGCACGCAACTTCTGAGAAGAGTTGAACGAGAATCGAGATGACTGAGTGAAAGTTGGGTACAAAATGCAAACCCTAGGAAGTTGTACCCCATATGTGCTACCCCACTATAGCCTACAATAGCTATGTCATATATATCTGACACACCCCCATAGGCAAAGTGGGGGAGAACAAGGGGTCACAAGACCAGTCAAGCAAAGCAAAGCAAAGCAAGCTCAGAGTGGATCACAAAGTCACCACACAGTCTGAGCATAAGGTCAAGGCCACAAGGCCAGTTCACAAGCAGGAGAGCACATATATATATAACACTAAACAAACAAGAGCAGGTATATATATATGCAAGAGTACAAGTAAGATCAAGAGGTGAGCAAGTGAGGTGAGACAGGTACAAGTCCCAGCTGAGCGCAGAAGCGCTGATGATCACAAGGCGGAAGTGCCTTGGTGAAAACATCAGCAATGTTGGCCTCAGAGGCCACGTACGCAAGTCGCAACTGACCACGCTGCTGCAGCTCACGAGCAAGAAAGTAGCGGAGAGCAATGTGCTACGTTCTGTGCTCCACGCGCTGCTCTCGACACAAGGCCAGCATGGCCGTGTTGTCTACGTACAGCATTGGAGGAGAACGAGGCGGCTCTCCAAGGTCAGCCAGCAGGTAGGTGAGCCAGCGAAGCTCCTGTGCAGCCATGGCCCCGGCGTAGATCTCAGCCTCACAACTGGAGCCGAGAACAGAAGACGAGCGAGTAGCCCGCCACGAGACAGAGCCGGAACCAAGACTGAAGGTGTAACCATGTGACGACCGCTGAGTAGCCTGGTCGTCAGCCCAAGAAGCGTCCGCGTACCCAGTGAGGATCACTAAACTCCGCCCTCCAAGCACTAGCCCCATGCCCGACATACTGCACAATTAGCGCAACACCCTCTTCGCTGCAGCCATGTGCTCTGGTCGGTGTCTCCAAGGAGCAACATAGCGTGCAAGAATGCTAAGAGGGTATGCAAGGTTAGGTCGTGTGCAGGTCATCAGGTACATGAGGCAGCCAACAAGCTCTGGGTATGGGCCACTCGACTCTACGGACTCATCCGAAGGCAGAGCTGAGAGCGAGTGGCGAGTAGACAGAGGAGTGGCCTGAGGCGAGGAGTACGTGAAGCCGAAGCGCTAAAGGACCTGCTGCACCATGTGTGACTGAGTCAAGGTAATGGTGCGTCGTGCTCTGTCCCGAGTGATCTGCAAGCCAAGGTAGCTGCGCAGTTCACCCAGGTCTGTGCACGTGTGTCTCTTCTGCAGCTCGGACTTCACGTAGGCGAGTCCAGCAGTGTCCGCTGTGGCAAAGACCAAGTCGTCAACATACACGAGGATGTAGAACGGCGGCAGAGAAGTGTCGGTGCGCAGAAACAACGACGGGTCAGCAGTAGAGGGAGCAAACCCAAGAGCCGCAAGCGTAGTCCTTAGTGTGTCGTGCCACTCACGCAGTGCCTGGCGGAGACCGTAGACTGGCCGTCGGAGGCTCCACTGGGTGCCAGGAGGGAAAGTCCCAGTGAAGCCAGGTGGACGGCGCAGCCAGATCTCCTCATGCAGGCTACCCTGCAAGAAAGCAGTGCTGAAGTCAAGAGAGTGGAGCTCGTAGTCGCACTGAGCGGCTTTGTGCAGCAGCACCCGAAGAGTGGTCATCTTCGGGGTGGGAGATAAGGTCGGAAAGTAGTCAACTTCCTGC